GGTGCCCACGTGGCCGGGGTGCAGGAAGCAGCAGGAGGCAAAAGAGCGGCCGGCAGACGTTCCTGCATCGAGCCTGCAGGGGGCGCCGGAGGCACGTCGCACGAGCGCGGGGAGGAGTCGCCGTCGGGCCCTCCAGGAGACGGTGAGGAATTCAGGGTGGGGCCGTGTAGAGGACCCTGTGGGGGACAGCCTGGGGCACGCCTCATGGAGAGACAGAGAGACGCTCTCCAAAGGAGAGGGGTCCCGAGAAGGGAGGGAAGCTCGGGGAAACGGCGGGTGGGGGGCGGGGGCGGGGGCCGGGGCTGACCTCCCCCGCGGGGCCGCTGTGGGGCGCCCTCGCGCTGAACCCTGCCGCGCCCCCAGGACCCGGGTCCGGCCTCCCACCCGCCGCCCCACCCAGTCCCTACCTGAGGCTCCGGGCCGGCTGTCCCCGCGAGCCGTGGCGTGGCGGCCGTGCCAGTCTTGGACTGCAGGCTGCACCCCACGCAGGAACTCTCTAGGACCCCTGCCCAGGCCACGGGGTTTCCAGCCCCAGCCCCGCCCGCAGTCGTGGCCCCTCGGGGGCGGGGTCTCCCACGCCTCCCTCTGACCCTGACCTTGACCCTGACCCATGGAGGTGGTTCTCCAGCTTTCAACAAGGGCGTTTAGACGTACGCTAATATTTATGCTTTGTTTTTCTTTCTTTAATCAAAGTTATACATTCACGTGGTTTAAAGAGTCAAATTGTGCCCAAGTTCTTTTTTTTAAACCTCAGACTCTCCCGTTCCCGGTCAGCCCCATCTCCTCCTGGCTTCTCGCCAGAGGCATCGCTTTGAAGTCTTTTTGCTGCTTGTCTTGGTAGCTGCCTCTGTTCTCTCTCTTTCTTAAAGCACTGTGTTGACACCATGCAATCCACACACTGGAAATGTACACTTCCGTGGCTTTTGAGTGTATTCACAGCATTGTGGAACCTCCACTGCAGTCAATCCCAGAACATTTTTATCACCCCAACCACTGATGGACTTCATGGATTTGCCTATTCTAGATATTTCAGATAAATGAATACAAGGGGGCAGGGGGGGAGGGAAGTGAGGGGCTGACTCCTCCATTAGGGCACGGTGTCCAGGGCCCACAGAATGTATTATGATAATACAAGATGTGGCCTTTTGTATCTGTCGTCAATTAAATAAGAAGCTTGCTGAGTTGTAGGCATTATCCATGGGCTTACACCAGGGAAGATGAGGATTTAGGGCCCCCTCTTCCTCTACACCACACACAAGTCCCATCCCTCATCCTCTCAATAGAATTATAATTCTCTTTGTTCTTTAATATTATTGTGACTCTGTAAACTCTACTAAGCTATTAGTAAACTAATTATTTTTCCTTTCCTGTAGGATTTTGATAGTTTCTCATCGTCATTTTTTTCTTTACTTTTTTTTTCTATTTTCTGTGAATTTATATCTAATTAAATCCAAATTCTGCCAGGTGATTAAATCTCTTCCTATTATGTTCAGATTCAAGGTATTTTTTTTTTAAATCAATTTCATCTTCCTGGAGAAATCTCTCCAGGAGCCTTCCTATCTGTTCAGGTCAGGGCTTTTTGTCCTCTGGCCTGGCACTGAGTGTCATCCTGGGAATCCCCCTGTCTCTCTTCCACACTAAATCTCCTTTCTCAGTAGCCAGCGTCTTCCTCATGTTTCTCTTCACTTTGGTGTATCACATCCTCTTACATCTTTCTGGAAGAGGGAACGTGGGCAGTCATTGTTTTAAAAAACTTTGTTTGAAAATGCCCTTATTCTACCTTCAAACATGATATAGACTTAGAGACTGGAAATAATTTTCCATCAAAATTTAGGAAGACATTGCTCCATTGCCTCTAGTTTGCTGTGTGGTTGTATTTTAAAGTCATTCTCATATAAGATCTTTTGTAAATAACCTGTTTCTCCCCCTGGATTTTCACTTCGTCCCACATGTCCTGAAATGTCCTCAAAATATTTTGGTATGGGCTCATTTTCATGTATTTGTGTTAGGCACAAATATCAGTAGGTCTTTTTTCTTTTTTTTTTTCATATTTATTTATTTATTCGGCTGCACTGGGCCTTAGTTGCGGCACGCAGGATCTTCGTTGCCACGTGTAGGATCTTTGTTGCAGCATCTTTAGTTGCGGCACGCGGGATCTAGTTCCCTGACTGGGGATCCAACCGCGGTCCCCTGCGTTGGGAGCGTGGAGCCTTAACCACCGGACCACCAGGGAAGTCCCAGTAGGTTTTTCTCTTGTGCCCCCAGGAAGAATCTTCTAGTCTCCTGCCTGCTACAGAAGCGCTGGGAGAAGGGAGTCAATTGGGAAAGACCACGCTCGCAACTCCCAGCTTGGAGAGAAGGTGAGGAGAGCGGGACAGGCTGTCTGGGGGGTGAACTGGAACTTTCTGTGAACAAAAGGCTCTCTGGCCACTTCTGTGCCCCATTAGTGACAGGAGAGACTTCTGGAATGTATCCTTTTGTTGTCTTTTTGCTGGATGGAAAGAGAAAAGAGGAAATGTTAAGCACCCAGAGTTAATTATCACGATCGTTAACAAAAAATCCAAGGACATTTCAACACAGGAGAGAACAGAAAACGTGAGTCAGACAAGATCTTCTGGGGGAACAGGAGGAGGCTGGAGTGCCATGCACCACTTTACAGGCTCTTAACCCAAGGCCAGAGTTTTGGTTTTTTTTAATATTTATTTATTTTTGGCTGCATCCGGTCTTAGTTGCGGTACACAGGATCTTTCGTTGTGGCACATGGGATTCTCTTTAGTTGTGGGGTTCGGGCTCCAGAGCGCGTGGGCCCTGTAATTGAGGCGTGCGGGCTCTCTAGTTGTGGTGCACGGGCTTAGTTGCTCCGCAGCATGTGGGACCTTAGTTCCCCGACCAGGTATCGAACCCGCGTCCCCTGCATTGGAAGGCAGATTCTTAACCACTGGAACACCAGTGAAGTCCCGAGAGTTTTTAAAAATAAATCTTTTCCCCCTCGTCTGCTTGGCTGAGCCGTTGTGGGGAGGGGAGAAAATGGATTGGAAGAGGGCAAGCCTGGGCATGGCTTCCGGGAAGAGGGGCGACACTGACCACAAGCAAGTGTTTAGGGGAAGCAGAACTGTGTTAATGAAAAGTGATAGCCACGCCTGTAGCCGGGTCTCAGCGACGGAGTGTCTTGCCCAGGTGCTGACTCACCTCTTCTCCCCCAGGGAAGCCAGGTGAACGCTCTCAAGGAAGCTAAGAGCCCTGAGCCCTTCCCCCAACACACACTGACCTCTCTGAAGACGCAGAGAGGTGTTCTGTGCGGAGAGAGAGGCAAATGCCTCTGCTGAGGTGAGGGAGCCCAAGCCCGGCGCGTTTAGCCAATCCATACACGACAGGACAGAGCCCAGGCCAGCCATCCAGGACTCCTCAGAGCCCAGGGGAGTCCCTCCTTTTTCATGCATGACCGTAGCCAGTAGGAACAGGCTCCAAACAATAATTTGCAGCAGCAGAGAAACAGGTCTCGGTTCTGGTCGTGGGGAAGAAAGAAACGCTTACTACCCTGCCGTCTTTGTGCAGATAGAGGGTTTGGACAGAGCCACTCAGGCTGGGGACGAGCAAGATGAATAAAAAAAGGGTGACGTGGCATCTGTGCAAACACTATAGGGAAAAAAGACAGTGGAAGAATCCATTCAGGTAGAAAAGTTAGGTTAATGAAAAGCGCACCAGGACTTCCCTGGTGGCGCAGTGGTTAGGGATCCGCCTGCCAATGCAGGGGACGCGGGTTCGAGCCCTGGTCCGGGAAGATCCCACATGCTGTGGAGCAACTAAATCCGTGTGCCATAACTACCGAGCCTGCGCCCTAGAGCCCGCGAGCAACAACTACTGAAGCTCGCACACCTAGAGCCCCGGTTCTGCAACAAGAGAAGCCACGGCAGTGAGAGGCCTGTGCACCCCAACGAAGAGTAGCCCCCCTCGCTGCAACTAGAGGAAGCCTGCCCACAGCAGTGAAGACCCAATGCAGCCAAAAATAAACAAAATAACTAAAAAAAAAGAAAAGCACACAGTATCTTAATTATTTTGTATCAAAGCAAAATCATCTCAATAAAGCAAGACCTCAAAGATGAGAAGATGAAACAACAGAATTAAGTGAAAAGGGAGATTGCAAAGCTGAGGAAACAAATTGAATATCAGAATGACAATTTCTGAACTAATAAATTAGAAAAGCAATAGAACGATAATTGCAGTTGAGGGTTGAAATCACAGGCATCAAGGAAAGACCTGCTCTGATCTCAGAGAATGCAAAGGGAAAAAGGAGAGATTAGAGCAATTAGACAAGATACAGTGTATTTAGAGGACCCAAATGACATTTGGTGACTGAAACAGAGAATTCAACAAACAGAATGTATAACGTGTTTAATGATGTTGAGTGAATCTTCCTTAAATGACGAAGAACCTAATCCACAGCTCAGAAGGCACAGTCAGGAATACTCACAGGATGACTGATGGACATACAGATATAATTGTGTGTGGGGGGGGGTAATTTTTATTTTGAAACAATTCCAGACATACAAAAACATTTCAAGAATAAAAAAGAACTCCTGTTTTAAATATTTCACCACATTTCCTTGATCACATATTTATCCATCCATCAATTCACCTTATTTTCTGATACATTTCAAAGTAAGTTGCAGACATCAGTACACTTTACCCAATACAATTCAGAGTGCATATTAACGAGAGTTCAATACTTGTGTACATTGCTTTGAAGTAAAATTAACACGCAGTAAAGTGGTCACATCTTTAGATGCTATCTGTTGAGTTTTGACAAATTCATAAACCTTTTACAAGATACAGAATATCTCCGTCACCCCAGAATGTTCCCTCGAGTCTTTGTTGGTCCCTGTGCACCCAAACTGGAGAGGCAGAGAAGCATGGCCCCGGGCTCCCTGAGCACCAAGGATGCTCACAGCACAGACGGGGGTGTGGCCAGGCCTCTCTGGACTGAGCGCCCCGGGGAGGGCTCAGGCCTCGGCCAGCTGCTGCGGCACTGAGAGGGACCCGTACAGGGCGAACAAGGGCTTCTTGGCCTCCAGGTCTCAGGTCGCCTTGGGGCTGTCGGGAGCCACCCTCAGGCTGCACTCCTCCAGCAGGCTGAAGGTGATGGCCAAGCCCTCTACCTGCAGCAGGGTGAGGAGCTTGGGGTCCAGGGTGAAGGGGATGTTCCAAGGGTACTTGAAGTTGGGCTCCAGGATGCTCCTCACCTGGAAGAAATGAGGTCAGGTGTTGCAGGTCAGCCTTTGAGATCAGGAGACAAAACCGTCTGTCCCGAGAGCCAGGGGCCTCACCGGGGCATGGAAGAGGCAAAGTCATGGAGTCAAGGGGACCAGGAGTCTCGTCCTGTCCTGTCCTTTGATCGGTGTGATCTTGGATATGTCACTGGAAATTGTTGCGCTTTGGTTCTTCAGCTGCTAAATGGTGATACTAACATTGACCTTGCAGAATAGTGGTATCTGGAATTACATGTGTATGTGTACATGTGTGCAATGTGTGTGTGTGTGTGCATACGTCTGTGCACACATATGTACTCATGTATACATGTATGTGGAGAGAGAAAGAGCAATTTGCAAATGGTAACTGTGTGAGGAAAGCAGAGGTGTTTCAGATTCCCTGAGCCCCCCCAAACTTGTATTCCTCTTTTAGAACTGTGGGCGCCCTCTGCTGGGGTTGCCATGGAGACGGAGACCCCCCTGAGGTAGACTCACACCCACCGGGCTTGCTCCCCAGAGGGAGAGGCAGCCAGAGGATTCCCGGTGGCCACACGGGATCCTTTCTCCCCTCTCAGCAGAATCTTACGTCACCTCTCTTTCCTCAGGATCATTCTTATCCCTGGCTCCCTCACCCCCATCCCTGGAGGCTGGCCCCTGGGGATTGATTTCTTCCCAGCGCCCGCTGCTGGAGCAGGATCCTCTTCTCCACGGACCAGGCCAGTAGTCATGTTGGGTGTCACTCAGCCCTGGGAACGAGGGGACATTTGGGGAGAGAGAGTGATGAGTCGTCAGATTTTTCTTCCCTACTGTGAGCTAGGAGACCCCCCGAAGGCAGAGGAATAAAACCCGCTTGACCTGAAAGGCGAGTTCCCTCCTTCTGCTCTTGGGATGGTCTCCAGGATGCTGCATAACGTGGTCCAGCGGGTGGGATTCTAGGCTGGAGCCTGGAATCATCCACACCCAATGATAGGTTGGGTGAACTTGGGCTGGTCTTTCTAGATCCCGGGCTGGTTCTGTATCATACGTTGAATTTATCTCACTGACTCCTCCTGACCTTGGAGAGGGGCGTGATGTGAGATGAAGACCATGGTATTAGACGGGTTTTAGAGAGGTGGGTGGCATCTAACCCCATCCTTTTTGGGTCTAGAGGCCAAATTTGTGACGTTCCCATATTTCCCTCAAATTACTCTTACCCAATATGGCTTTAAGGAGGGAAATGATGTGCAGTCTTAACTTGAGCCATAGATTTCTTGAGTCCTCTTGCATCTCACTTAGGAAGGTGCCACCAAAGCTGTCCAGATGATCCGAGGGGCCCCGATCCAACTACAGGAAACCGGTATTATTAGTAATACAACAACAACAATAATAGTAATAGCAATAGTGATGTTGTTTTGCAGTTTTGCCAGTATCTTTTGAGTCTACAAGTGATTAACCAAGGTGGGAGGGGGCGGGATCTTCACCTCCCCCCAGATTCCAAGCAGCTTCAGCATGTGGGCTGCATGCCCTGGACCTGGTCATTGTGCCTGGACCAGCGTTTGGGACCCCCTTCTGCAGCCCTCCTTCCCCATGTATCTTGGCAGTCTATCTCCTAAACCTGCCCCTTCACAACTTTGATCAGCCTTAGGTAGAGTGGGACCCCCCCCGCCATGTCCATGAGGTCCTGCAGAGCCTCTCGGTCCTTGAGCCTGGCCAGGATATTATGGAGAATAGCATCCTGAGTGTCCTTTGGGAGCTGGGCCATTGCCTCCATTTCCCTGGAAACCTCCTTTTGTAGGTGCTTGAAATCTGTCCTCAGGCATCAACATCAACCAGAAAGTGGGGACAGTTCTCTGATTAGAACATCCGTGGTGTGATAAGCCAGGCACCTCCATGTCGTTTATCTACCAACCAAAAGCATCTCTGCAGATGGCATGTTTGAGCTCTGGGGATGGAGCTATCATAATAGGCTAAAATGATGGGCAATCCTAGTGCTGTGAAGGGACCCGGGGTGGGGTAGAAGGCAGGGAGGAGAGAAGGAGATTCTGGAAAGAGGTCGTGGGAAGTGGAAGAAAATGACCAAGTGCTCTTTTCTGGGACACGTCTAGAATAACGTGGATTCTAACGTTGGGCTCTAGAGATGAGAATCTTAGGTGCTCTGGGCTCAGTTTCCACATCTGTTTAGTGGGAAGGTTATGAGGATTAAATGAGTTCATGTATGTAAAATGCTTGGGGGAGTACCTGGCACACATGAACTACCCTCCTTATCATGTAATTCTGCCTGTATCGTCTGTGACCACACAAAATTAAGCAAGGAATGGAGTTGGGGGTTCTCTGCTCCTCCTAGGAGACTTCAGGTGGCCTCCAGCTGATCTGCCGAGAGGGAGAGGTCCAGTGAGGCAGACATTTCTGTTTGGTCCACGACCGTATCCCCACTGCTCAGAATAGTGCCTGTTGCCCAACAAGTCCTCAACAAGTGTTTGTTGCGTGGATGCACGAATGAGTGAATGAACGAATGGGGCTGAACAAAGCGTCGATTTGGAAGTAGAGCTCAGTTTTGTAAGTTGCATGCAAGCCACCTTTTGGGTAGTTGGCTTTGCAGTTTCCCACCCAGGAAGTCCCAGCTTCCCTCTTAATAAACACTGACCTTGGCCAGTGGGTTCCCGTATTCTTCCTGGAAAGAGAGTCACAAGTGATCATCTCCCTTTCTCATCCCCCAACTTTACTTTTGAGACATTTTGGAGAGTCCTGCCCTCTTAACGCCTTCTCCCTTTTGCTTAACCTCTTCCTGCCCCCATCCCTGTCTGTCCCTCCCCCTCCTTGGTCGTGTGGAACCCCTCCCATTCCACAGAAACTAGGGCCAGGCCCCGGGGCAGCGGTGGCAAAGGCAGGGGCCATCTGCCCTGCTCTCCAGACGTATGTGTGCCATTAGGACCCATCCCCCATCCCAGGAAACACACACTCACCCATTGGGAGGATGGTGCCTAGAAGAGAAATTAAATCCTTACCCAAGAGTTAGTCTCTGAAGGCACTCGGTTTCTCTGACCCTCTGCCCCCTACTTCCCTGACCCCCGTCCCCTTTCTATCTACCCCTTCCCTCCCAGGGAGCCAGACCCAGCGACTTGGGTAAGGACAGCAGAGGCAATCACGTGGCATTCTGGTTGTGACAAGAGGCCTCAGGGAGGGATCAGATCCCACTTTTCTGGCTGTAAAATCACCCACTCGCCCATCGCCGATTGCAGCTGACGCTCTTCTGGAAAGATAAACAGAAGGACTCACTCACCAAGAGTTAACCTCCGCTCCCCCAAGACACACACATGTGCACACACGCACGCGCAAACACACACACACACACACACACGAGAAAGGTGCCTTCCTCTGTGGCCCCAAGAGTCTATGGCTTGTAAAAGACAGAAGCAGTTGGCGGGCTGTGGAGGAGGTTAGCTTCCCTCTGGGCCTGCTGGCTGAGCCCCTTGCATGGCTCTTATTAGCATCCAGAGGGGGTCAGAGTTCAGGGGTAGGCAGAGAACCTGCCCAGCTCAGGAACTCACCTCTGGAAAGGTTTTCCACTTATCATCATCTGAGATGAAAAGAATGCCTGGATGGGGAAGAAGCCAGGTCAGGAGAGCCCAGGTTATTCCTGCTGGATCCTTTCACATCCCTGCACCTGTAGTCCCCCCCGAGCCCATCCCCAGCTTCTTCCTCCGGATCAGGTGGGGCAGCTTTCCTCAGTGTGGCCTGGGGACCCCTTGCATCAGAATCACCTGGGATGATTGTTTAAAAACTCAGAATCCCTGACCTCACTCTGTTTCTTCTGAATCAGATTCTCTAAAGAGAAACCTGGAACCTGCATGTTAACTAAGCACCTCATCAAGGGATAACGCCCTAGCCCTAAGAAATGATGGCATCACTTGAACAGTGGTCCAGGAGAGACACAGCATCCTCTTTCCAGGCACAGCATCAGCCCCAGGATGCAGCTCACTGAGCAGAAAATGTTTGGGATTTGGAGCCAGACAGACCTGATTTGGATTCCAGTTCTACCAGTTCCCAGGTGTGTTAACTTTGAACAAATTATTTTGTAAGTTTCAATTTATTCTTATGCAAATGGCGATGTTATTCCTAACTTCAGAGGCTGCTGTAAGTATTCAATATGCTAAAAAAGTGCCTGGGTCCAGATAGTTGGTAGATTCTCAAATAATCGTAGCTCCTTGCCCTGTGCCTTTAGGCAAGGCTGGTTTGATATCTACCTGTGCGGGTGTCTTAGGGATTCTTGGGTGTTGCACCAAGAATCTATCTGAGCATGCTTGTTTTTCACTCCTTGCCTCCTTCGTCCCTGGTTGACACTACCTGGGACTGAAGAACTTGGCTCCAGGATATCCATGAGGGTGTATTCTACTGGAACAGCAGGTTGTCCCCAGAACTGTGCGTGCATCCCCTTCTTCTTCCATAATAGCGCCAGCTGACGGAATTTATTGGTGCTCAACAGGTATTTGACAGGCCTCAGGTCTTTGTCTCCAAGCTCTTTGACCAAATCCTTGCTAATAGGCTCAAACAGGGAGGGCATGTTGCTAGGAGAGGATGGAAGGGGAGTGCAAAGTTCCGTTGGGAGGCAGGGAAGAGAGTGGGCAACCTCGTACAGATCCTTGATATTCTTCCCGAAGGGACGCACATTATAGGAGGTGAATTTAGGTTGTAAGTCAGACACAGAAAGACAAATACTGCAAGATCTTATTTTTTTTTTATTTTTTGCGGTACGCGGGCCTCTCACTGTTGTGGCCTCCCCCGTTGCGGAGCACAGGCTCCGGACGCGCAGGCCCAGCGGCCATGGCTCACGGGCCCAGCCGCTCCGCGGCATGTGGGATCTTCCCGGACCGGGGCACAAACCCGTGTCCCCTGCATAGGCAGGCGGACTCTCAACCACTGCGCCACCAGGGAAGCCCTGCAAGATCTTATATGTATGTGAATCTCAAATAGCTAAACTCATAGAAGAAGCAGAGGGTATGATGGTGTCCAGGGCCTGGGGGGAAATGAAGTGACATTGGTCAAAGGGTTCAAAGCTTCAGTTGTACTAGATGAAAAAATCCTGGAGATCTAATGTACAGAATAGTGACTATAGTTAACAATATTGTATCGTATACTTGAAATATGCTGAGGACGTATCTTAAGTGTTCTGACCACACACACACAAAAGGTAGTGTGTGAGGTGATGGATATGTTTATTAGCTGGATTACGGTGATCATTTCACAATGTATATACGTATATCAAAATGTCAAGTTGTAAACCTTAAATATATACAATTTTTATTTGTCATTTATATCTCAATAAATCTGAAAAAAATTAAAAAGATTTATAAAAAACACAAAAAAGAAATGAACTCCAGGCAGTCGTATAGATTGGAGCTCAGAGCTAAGAAATGCCCTGGAGATCCAAGTGTTTGAGTTATCTGTGTGTAGGTAGTAATCGAAACCAGCGTAGTAAGGATGCAGACATGAGTAAATAGTGAATAGCTGGGTAGACAAAAATGTGAAGTGCATTTTACAGACCACATTGAATGAGAGTAATTCATTGGAATTGCTCTCTTCTGGGCAAAGAGGAATTAGATTTCCCAGTTATACAGAATTCAGTTTTCGAACGTTCACTGAGTGTTGAATAAAGACAGAATTTTCAACAGATCAAGTAAAATCCCTGATGTGACTTTCAATTCTGTCTCGTGTGGGCCCTGCAAGGGATCAATGGACAACAGAGAGTAACAAGAACAAAAAAAGATTCTCTAAGCCTGGACCTGGGTAAAGATGTATGAAAGATACATCCCTGAGCCTTACATGCTTGCATGTTGTTATCAGGAATTCTCCTTTATTAATGAGAACTTTAGGAAGAAGTAGTACTTTCTTTGGGGGTCAGATTAGGACAAAAAAACCACCTCAAACAAAAACACTTCTATTCATTTGACAAATCTATCCTGAACACTTCTGTCTCTGGCAATAGTATCCTCTCTTCTTATTCATCCCCTGATTCCCCAGTTAGAACTTACCAGACTGTGTATTGTTTTGTCTTGTAGAGAAAAGATTCCAATTGAGTAGGGTCCCTTTCAATCTTCAGACGTCCCGATGTCAAGCAGAGTTTGTCAGACGAACTCCAGGGAGCAGATCAACGTGACTCTTCTCACTGTGTTTTCTTTCCACCAATAGGTCCCTGACTCAATTTCCAACGCAAAATCCTAGAAAAGCAAGCATATGACAGGCCCTCTTCTCTTCCAGGAGACCGGGTCCGGGGCTGAGCTCTGGATCATGGAATCTTAGCCTCCTAAGTCTTCCTATTGCCCTTCGTCTTACTCTCCTCGAAACTCCTCCATCACCTGTCTTCTCCCAATCCCGCCCTCACCCAGGGTGATTTCCAGTTTCACATGAGAAATGTGCAGAGCCCTGAGTCTTGCCTAACACCAAAGATTAAGTGTTTGTCAGGGGACAAGAGCCCATGAAGGAGGCAGAATGGAAACGGTCCCGTAAATGGAGACCCCATAGATCATGGTGTCATCCTATCCGGGGAGAAGAGAGCTCCAAGGAGAGAATAGTCAAGTGTGTGTTCCTTGGTGATGTACGTGGGGTAAATTCGCCAGAGGACAGACTCCAGTGGGTGCCAGGGAGGGGGTGAGGACACAGGGTGTAGGAGATTCTTAACGAAGTTTCTATGAGGGGCAAGCGGGTGGGAGGAGGCGATCACTGGAGGAGGAGGACACTTGGAGGAGGGGTTGACAAGCTGCCAGAGAGCCGATCGTGTCATCAGGTCATGGGGAAGCATCCAGGTGACCTGGAGAGGATGAGGATAAGCTTGTGTCCATCACGTTGTCAGACATTTTTCTCTGATCTTCACATCAACTCTGGAGAGATGGTCTTATTTCCGGTATACAGATGGGAAGGCTGTGTAAGAACAAATAGAAATTAAAAATATGAGGCTTAGGGCTTCCCTGGTGGCGCAGTGGTTGGGAGTCTGCCTGCCGATGCAGGGGACACGGGTTCGTGCCCCGGTCTGGGAAGATCCCACATGCCGCGGAGCGGCTGGGCCCGTGAGCCACGGCCGCTGAGCCCGCGCGTCCGGAGCCTGTGCTCCGCAACGGGAGAGGCCACAACAGTGAGAGGCCCGCGTACAGAAAAAAAAAAAAAAAAAAACCAAACCAAACAAAAAGAAATGAGGCTTATTTCTCCCAGTTGAAAATCAGGGAAGAGATTTCCTTCCCCTCCTTTTCCTTAGAAGCTTTATTTTAGAAAACTTGGGTAAAAGTGTAAGCACTTTCTCCTCTCTTGGAAATGTATATAAATCCTTTTGAAAACTCAACTTTAGGACCCAGGAAAGTCTTTCTCAAGGACCTGAGACCTATTCTTTGAAATGTAAGCACCTAGTATCACCCCTCCCGGTTTCTGTGGAAGGGCAGAACCTAAATTCAGTGGGCACGTGCTCCAGGGTACAAATCGACTTCCTCTTGTAAAAGTTAAAAGTTTGTTTTTCTTCTGGATAAAACCAATTGGCTAACAGGTGGTCACTTCGATTACCAGGTAAAGTCAGGATAAACTACACGTGATAGACGGTTCTGTCAAGGCTTCTTACCGGAGGACTAGTTATTATTTATCTTGAAAATAAGTCTATGTAATTGGTAATTGTCTACCAATTGGTAATTGGTAATCTGCGGGGCTATATATGAAAGGATGAGATTTCTTTCTGTTTTTGCAGTCTTTTAGTGGATTGCTTATGACATGCACCACATTCTGTTTTAATGCTTATTCAATGATAACATTGTTTTCTTTCTCTATTCCCTTCGTGGACAGATTTTCTGGATTGGGAGATTCTAATTATATTTCCCCAAGAGCTGAAACCCAATGAGGGATTCACATTTCTACCAGTTACACAGCAAGTGCTCTGGCAAATGGCTGATCTGTTATGCACGTTATTTCCCTTTTTGGTTTGTTATGAGGATTAAATTAGTTCATGTAGGTCCAGTGTTTACTGCACTGGACAGCATAGTTATGTTCCTTCTCTTCCCCCTTCGGCCTAAATTTTGTTTATAGCAAGCAAGCCACACTCGTCCCCTAGTGGTCAACACGTGACTTGCAGGCACTTCTGTGAGGTTAACCTTTCAACTAAGTTCATTCTGTTCATACTTTCCAACACTTGCAAAAACACGATGTTGTTGAAAATGAGGACCCGTTTTTCTCCTCCCTTAATTAAAAGCACTTCATCATCCCTCATGACCTTTAATAATACTACCTTCTCCTGGTGCCCTCAGCACCTCTGACTAACTCTTGGGTGGGGAATTTAATTTTGCTTCTAGGCACCATGAGAGGTCCCATCCTCCGAAGAGGTGTGTGTTTGCTGGGATGGGGGATGGGGTCCTAATGGCACACGTACGTCTGGAGAGCAGGGCAGATGGCCCCTGCCTTTGCCACCGCTGCCCCGGGGCCTGGCCCTAGTTTCTGTGGAATGGGAGGGGTCCTAGGAGGTGGAGGGATGGACCAGGATGGGGGCAGGAAGAGGTTAAATGACAGGGAGGTGGTGGTAGGAGGGCAGGACCCTCCAAATATCTCAAAAGTAAACTGAGGATGGGGAAAGATATGATTACTTGTATCACTTGTGACTCTCTGTCCAAGAAGAATATAGGAACCCCTTTGGCAAGGTGAGTGTTTATGAAGAGAGAACCTGGGGTTTCCTGGGTGGAAAACCATAAGACTGATTTCCCAGCTTGGAGATGACCATGAAAACTGAGATGACTCAGAAAACTGAGTCCTACTTCCATGAAACAAACATTTGTTGAGGACTTGTTGTAGCTGTTTTGTTTGTTTTGATTATAGCCATCCTGGTGGGTATGAATTGGTATTTCATTGTCATTTTTATTTGCATTTTGCTGATGGCCTATGATGTGGAGCATCTTTTCAAATTCTTATTTGTCGTTCATATTATGTCCTTTGTATAAATATATAATCAAATCTTTAACAATTTGATGATGGGATGAATATTTAGAGTGATGTAGAACAAGACTGGGTAAGGGGTCTGACCCAGCTGGGTGTAAGTTTCTGGCTTGTGCTCCTGGGTTCTGGTAGTGCTATGCTTTGAGAAGAAGTGGCTGACAGTCAGGCTTGGGAGAGGAGGATCTTTTATTAGTTTTGGGGCATATTGAATTGGAAAAGGCTGTGAGATCTCCCAGTGAAAGTGTCAAATAGGTAGCTTGAAGTAATGGTCTTGGAGTTGAGAAGTTGGGTTGATGATGTGCATTTGGGAGAGATTGCTCTGTAAATGGTAATTGAAGGCATGAGGATAGATGAGGTGGATCTAGATCTAGAGGCAGTATACGGAAGAAGTGTACCTGAGACCATTTCTGAGGTTCCCCAACATTTAAGGGTGGTTGGAGAAGGTTGAACCAGGAAAGGAAACTAAAAATGAGGTGGTATGGTGGGCAGCATTTTTCGCAGCGGTCCCTGAGATTCCACGCCTTGGTCCTCAGATCCTGTGACTGTGACTTCACTCATGGGATTATGTTATGTTATATGGCACGGCTGGTCTTAAAGCACAATGCT